GAGTGCGCGCGCGGTGCCGGCCTCCCGCTCCTCCTGCGCCTTCCCCCGGCAGCCGCCGCCGCCGCCGTGCAGTTTAGCAGAAATCCGACAGGGGCCGCGTTTGCTGAGCGCATCCGGCCGCCGGGCAGCCCGAGCGGGCCGCCGGGCCCGGCTGGCCGGTGTAGACGCGGGGAGGGGGTCGGGGCGGGGTGTGTGTCTGGGGGGAACGGGCAGGCGGGGAGGGGCGCGGGAAGCGAGCTTGGACTGAGTGCTCGCCATCCCCCACCACCCCCGTCTCCGGCGTCCCGGGTGTCTCGGGCGAGTCGGGCAGCCCCTGGAGCCCTGGCCTTGGCGCCCCCGCCCCCAGCCAGGGCTTAGGTGAACTTGGGGTGGGGTGAGCGTGCGTGCGTGCGTGTGTGAGTATGGGGGGGGGGGGCAGACTGGGAACGCACTGTTTTCTTTCCCAGTTTGATATTAGCAACTGGGTTTTTACTTTAAGACCGGCTTTGCTCACTGCTGGGGTTGGGAGGGGGCGATCTTTTCCCATCACTCACATCTTTGTTCATTGTTCACTGAGTGGAAGGCAGGCGACTTAAAGAGACGAAAGAGAGGAAAAAAGGGGGGGGAGAGAAAGAGGAAAAAGAGGGGGAGCAAGAAGAGGGAAGGACCAGAGGCGTGGGGGAAAGCGCCCCCGCCCTCGCCCGGGTCGGGCTGGACGGTGAAACAGTAAACCCGCGCACGGAGGGTCGCCGGGAAAGTGGACATTACCGCTTTAATTAACTTCGAGATGCTCCGGCGGCGGGACCTGGCGTAGCCGTGACGCGCCCGCATAAATCTGCCCGGCCCGGGGCTGCTCCGAGAACTCGTACAGTAGCCGCGTCAGATCCAGCGCGCGCCTCCCAGTCCGGAGCCCATTTGCATAATTGGATCTTTTTTTTTTTTTTTTTTTGCCTCCTTCTTCCTCCCTGAAACTTGTTTGAAAACCCAAGTGAACACCGCGACGACCTGCACGCTCCAAAGCGAGTGCCAAGTAAGTGCCCTGCCGTGGCCTCGGCGCGCCCCGAGGTTAGCGCGCAAAGCCGGCCAGCGAGGTGCCCGGAGCCGCGCGCTTGCCGGCGGGCCTCGGCTGCGGGCTGCTGGCTGGCGGGAGGACTGTGGCCGCGGGCTCCGGGGCTCCCGGCTGGCAGCTCGCAGAACTTTTTCTTCTCTGTCTCCCGACTTCTCGGGCCAGGTGAGGTGTTTGGACCACGCGTGTACCTGTAGCGAGACTCGGGAGGCGACCTTTGGGGCGCGGTGGAGTTGGGCATCTCGGGTCCCGGGCGAGTAGTTGGTCCCCGCCGCCGTGGAGGGCAGAGCTGCGAGCGAGCGAGAGCGAGCGAGAGCGAGCGGGGCCGGCTGCTCGTCGCGCCGCGCCGCGGATGCAGCTCGTCGCCAAATGCCTCCCCCATTATTCTAAGGTTTGTGTCTCCGGCTGTGTGTGTGTGTGTGTGTGTGTGTGTGTGTGAGTGATCGGCTGTGCTTTAAAAAGAAAAGCAGCCAAAACAAGAGCAGGAAGGGCTTCTCCCTTAGCTTGCCCCCCCATTTCCCCAGCATCATTTATTTCTGTTGCTCAAAGGAGAGAGTGCAGAGCTTAAAGGCTAGACAGGGTCACCGAGAGATTGACAGTTCTGTTAGAAATGCCATAAATGCTATAGCCAAAATGTAGCTGCATTAATAAAATACCAACCCTTGCCTGGCGGGGAAAGCGCTTTTATAGTATTTTAAATTTTATAAAAATATATAATATAGTATTAGTATTATTTACAGTGTTCCGAACCTGGGGGAAAGTCGAATAGCTTGGGAGAAAACTGTAACCCTAGTTCCTGTTTGCCTAGGAACTTGCTGGGGGCTGGGCCCACCACCCTGCCTGGAAGGGGTAGGGACTCAGCTTCCGGCCTGGGGAGTCACAGGGGGGCGCCCCCGGCAGCCCTCTGGCCTCTGCTTCTGGAGAGCCTAGGGCTTCTGGCTGAAGGCTGCTTTAGTTATGATGTCATTCTGATAGCAGAGTGCAAATGTCTCCTGATTCCACCATTAACCGCCTGGCTGATTTGCTTGGTAATGAAAGCACTGACGTCCAGCGCCTTGACAAATGCAGGCCTGCAGAGCCCTAGGAATTAACTTTTCCCCCCACTGAGGAGGGAGCGAGCTGCCAGAAGTCTCACCACTGGGCCCCTGCCTTTGAACT